TAATGTGTTTGCAACACCTAAGCGCCTTCCCCCTCCTAGGCTACCATACCGTTATTCCCTTGGTGGATGGTAGTAACTCGGTTAAGGTGCGACCATACTGTTACCCTCGTAGTCAAAAGTCTCAGATTGAAACCATGGTAGATGAAATGCTTCAAGACGGCATAATTCTTCTAGTCCTTTCTCATCACCCGTTGTTGTTGATTCGCAAAAAAGACGGTTCATGGTGTTTTTGAACCGATTATATGGGTCCTCACGCTATCACGGTGAAGGATAGTTTCCCTATCCTGACGATGGATGAGTTGTTTGATGAAATTTTTGGGACGACACATTTTTCAAAATTGGATTTACGTTCGGGATACCATCAAATTCGTGTCCAACCAAATGAAGTGCATAAGACATCTTTTAGGACCCATCAAGGTTTATATGACTGATTGGTCATGCCTTTTGGCCTAACGAATGCATTGGCCTTGTTTCAAAACTTGATGAATGATGTATTTAAACAACAACTGCGCAAATCTGTCCTCATTTTTTTATGATATACTGGTGTTTAGTCCACCGTGGCCGTCTCATTTAATCCATCTTGAGGAAGTATTGTTACTGTTATGCCAACGTTGCTTGTTTTCCAAACTATCAAAGTGTAGTTTTGGTAATTCGAAGGTAGAATACCCTAGGGCATGTGGTGTCTGGGCCCGTGTGTTGAGATGGATCAATCTAAGATAGAGCTATTCTTGAATGGCCTTGTCCAACAAATTTTAAGCAATGCGAGGTTTTCTTGGACTCACGGGTTATTATAGGCGTTTCGTTAAAGGATATGTTGTTGTTACTTCACCCCTCACAACCTTGCTAAAGAAGGATTGCTTCAAATGGGATGATGCAACTTCTGTAGGTTTTGATGATCTTAAAGTGGCTATCACACAAACTCCAGTACTAGCCTTGCCAGATTTTACAATTCCATTTATCCTTGAAACTGATGCCTCCGGCTCCGGCATTGGCGCGGTTCTGAGTCAAGGTAAGTACCCCATTGCTTATTTTTCAAAAAAGTTGAGTTCTCGGATGCAAAAGCAATATGACGATGTGAGGGAGTTATATGCAATTTCTGATGCTATTGTTAAGTTTCACCATTACTTGATTGGGCATAAATTTACTATACGCACCGACCAAAAGAGCTTGAAGGCTCTCACCAATCAAACAATACAAACACCGGAGCAGCAAGTATGGTTACACAAATTTCTTGGATATGATTTTTCCATTGAATATAAATCGGGGAAGGACAATCTTGCAGCTGATGCCTTGTCTCGTTCGTTCTATTTGGCTGTGTCTCAACCTCACACTAGCCTAGCAGATCAAATTTCGATAGCAGCAACTTAGGATTCGACATTAATTGAAATAATGGAACAATGTCAACAAGGTATACAATCTGATCCGCAATTTCAAATAAAAAACGACAAGCTATTTTGGAATGCGAAGCTGGTAGTTCCTTAACAATCAGAGTTGATTACAAAAAAATTGGAAGAATATCACTCATATGTGATAGGGGGCCATGCAGGCATATAGAGAACCAAGGCTCGCATTACTTCACAATTTTAGTGGCCGAAATTGCACAAAGATGTACAAGAGTTTGTATCTAAATGCCTCATTTGTCAACAAACCCTGGTTTACTGCATCCATTGCCCATTCTGGAACAAATTTGGGAGGACATTGCTATGGACCTCATCACGGGCCTTCCTCCGCCTCAAGGATTCAGATTAATTTTTGTATTAGTGGATCGGTTATCTAAGTATGGCTATTTCCTTCCCCTCAAAGCTGATTTTTCTAGCCTCAAGGTAGTAGAAGTTTTCTTCAATAACATTGTCAAGCTGCACAATTTTCCAAATTCTATTATATCAGACCATGACAAAATATTTACAAGTAAATTTCGGCAACACTTATTTAAGATGAGTGGGACTACATTAGCAATGAGTTCAGCCTACCACCCTCAGACGGATGGACACACGGAGGTGCTCAACAAGTTCTTAG